TGTAGAGCTTGGACAGAGAGCCCTCAAATCTGTGGGACCCCAACAACATAATTTTATCAGCTGCTTTGCGGGCCTGCTCCCTGTCAGCAAACCGGTCCTGCAGCGCCTTCAGCAACTATGCCACCCCCAGCTGCTGTGCCCATCTATCCATAGCCACATTCTCTTTGGTTGCAGAGGAGGCGCACCATTTTAGTGCAGACCTCTCCAACCGGCCCAGAATTGTCCCCACCTTTGTTGCTTCTGGGCATGTGAAGCTGCCCAGGTATGCTTGCATAGCGGTGACCCAGTCTGACACATCCACCTTGGGGTCTTCCCCAGAGTGCATAGGAGGTGGTGTCAGCTTGGGCCCTCGCTGCACAGATGTACCAGAAGCGACAGAGGGGGTGGATACATGGGAACCAGCAGGTGAAGCTGGACGACTGTGAGGTGGTGTAGGATGCGCTGGGGGAGGTTGAGGAGGTTTGGGAGAAGGAGCAGAAAGCTTGAGATGCTGCAGAATGCTGATGACACTCGCAGTCAGGGAATCAAGGTTGGATGCCAACCTATCAACCTTGCGGTCGATAGCAGAGCCTTGATTCTCGAGCGCGAGAATCCTCTGGTCCCAGTTAGAAAAGTAGGACATGTTGATGGTGTCTATTAAGAGCACCAGTTCAGCAGTGTCCTTACTGTACTGACTGGAGGTACCACTGGTGACAACCCTTTCTACATCCTAGCGCAGCTGTCTTCTTCTCTCCTCATTTCTGCTGGCCTCCTGAGCTTCCGCCATCTCCTGTTTCAACCGCTGGATCCGGGTCTCTGCCTTGAGGCGAGCTTGCTCAGCCTCAAAGAGGGCCTGCTCCAGGGGAGAGAGCGGAACCTGAGAAGTGTCAACAGAAGTCTCTCCTTCCTCACTCTTCACTTCCTCAGTCTTCACTTCAGCGTCAACCATGATGAACCACTCACACAATCAATAAATATAGACAGGCAGATATAAGGCAAGCAGAGATTAACACTCACACACACAGAGGTAATCACTGCCACCTGATACAAAGAGACGTGGTGTGATTAGCAGAAGAGTGTTCAGCCTTTGTAGGCTGCTGAGGGCTTCCCTGGGTCAGCTTAGGTCAAAACCATATAAAATCAGATTTGCGATTTTTCATTCACAGCCCAGAACCCTCATCTGAGTCAATGCCCCTAGAATCGTTATCAGATAGATAGACAGGATGCAACCTTGGACTGTAAGTAGACAGATTAGAATAGCGCAGGGAGTCAGTAGCAATCCCCAGAACCCAGTAGTCAACCAAGATGCAGCGGATGACTGATCAAGCTATTTTTAGACTCCTACTACTAACATTGGCACTGTAGGACCCTTTATGCCCCACTATAGGTGAGGCGAAGTACAGATTTCACTGTACCTGACTCAAAACATCAAATCCAGTATAGCGCTTTCAGACACTGGCTGAATACTGAATTGCGATTTCAGGGTGACTGACAGATTGAAATTCTGACGGACAGGACCTAAGTTATGACAAACCCTAGCTGCCCGAAGCACTGGCTATGGCAGCGCAACTTTCAGAATTTCATTTCTACTGACATACAGACCCTGAACTACTCAATTCACAGTGCATACTGAATCGCAATACTGTAATACAGTCTGAGATGCAATTTGAGACAGAGAGGAGGTCAAACGGAGTCAGTAGAAGTCAAAGTAGGTAGGTAGGAGAAATGGCTATGGCTGTCAGGCAGTGCGATTTTCAACTTTTCACTGTCTACAGACATACAACACCAATTTCCCAGTCTAATCACAACTATCAGACTCGCTACAGGGACTTGAGTAAGGAACACACTTACTTCAGGTCAAGACACTGCATGAAGAAGTTGAACTGGCTATGGCTGCCATCTCGCCAGTTTCTTCCATCCACTGTTCCTGGTGCTCCCACGTTCAAAATCTCCTGAAACTTGGTGATACTGAAGCTCTTGATATGGCGAATAATCCCCACTAGTCAAATTCACTGAACCTGGTCCAGAATTTGCAACTCGACATACCCCCAGGTATCTCGCCACCAGTGAAGTCAACACCTGGGCTAAAAATAGCCCCTCAGTGCCTCCCAGGCCACTGAGCACTGAATCGCCACCAATCACTGTGTCATACCAATCGCCACACACCCCACACCAACACTCTACTAAGCGCAACCCTGAAGATGCGATTTCAACATGAAACCCGACGTTAGGAACTCTCAGATAGTGATGGCTGCCTAAGTCCATCATCTCGCCACTGTCTGGGTCCGATCTGCTCTGATACCAACTGTTATGAACATGATTGTCTGCTGAAATTTTGTCAACACTCACTCACAGGAACTCCCGTACACGCCCATACATGCACAAAAGGAAGGGGAGAGGTAGTGGAGTATCACACCGCCCACCGGAAAGAAACGCAGCGGAAGACTCAGAAGAGCGAAGTGACAGAATACACAGACAGTGAATTCTCTCCACACAAGTCCCAACAATCATTCATAGAAGACAACCGAGTGATCACAGCCAGAAAGCAATGAAGAGATGACAACTCGAACACAGTATGGACACTGTTTATTACACTCAGGGCATCGTTTTCACTGAATAACCTCAGAACCATGTTGCGCTACCCTCAGAGGGGTAGCGCCTTAAACCCAACACCCTGAACAGCTAAAAATAGCACCGAAAACCCAGGTAACACCCAGCGCCACCCTGACATCCAACTCAGTGGCCTGCGCCAAAGTGAAACAGGCTCCCAGAGCCAATTGCCATCTAGATGATGAAGAAGAAGCTCAGCGCCAACAGTCCCTGATGAAGATGAAGTCCAGATGATGAGATCTCTGAGAAGATGCAGCTATGGCTGCATCGCCACTGGGACCCTACTCCTGAGGAGGGTCAGCAGTGCACCACGTGCTCCAACGCATCAGACCTCTGATAGCCCAGACCGCTATGACTCCCAAAGAGTCAGAGCGGACAACGTTGACCCCAGTCCGGTCAACGCTCCGAAGGTCCGGCTATCTCCGCCGTGTCCAGCACCGGAATCAGCAACCACGGCCTGATACCGTGTGCGCAGCAACTTCCACCACGAAGTGTCAATTGCCAAAAGCCCTGGACCGGTGTCCCCATCCTACCTATACTCTACACTAGCCTAGACCGACCTAGACCGGACTGACTGACCGACCGGTACCGTTTCAGTTTCGGCCTCTAGGGCCTCTCCCTACCCGGCTATAGGCTATAGGACCGTCTATCAGCATAGGCCCATAGAGCCTGTCTGTCCTAGGGGTAGCCCGGGTCCGCTATTCGCAGTTAGGTTAGCTGTAGGAAAATCGGGTTAGTACTGGGCCCATATTTCTATATTTACAGATATGTCCCTCACGAATTTTCCCTACAGGGAGGTCTCTCGGTTAGTCCTCAGCCAAACAAAATTACGAATCTGTCCCTACCTAGAGTACAGCCGCGTCAGAGATAGGCTACAGGCAGCCGGAAACCAGCAAGTCATTGCAACTATGCGATAGATACACCACAAGGGTTTAAAAACCACCAGTACATGCCAGCTATCGACCGCGGGCCCCTTTCGGGGGCCGCCCGCGGCTGATTCATTTTATCCACGGCGCTCGGCCTCCTAAATTTTCGGTGAGGCTCAAAACAGGTTCTCCATTTGCCCTGGGGCATGCACTGGTGGTTTAAATCACTAGTACATCTGAAGACTCACGAATGAGCCTCTCCGAAAAGTTTGGGGACTGGGGACAGGGCCTGCCTGGGAGTGGGAGTAAATTTTCTTTTGTTCAGCACCGCAGCTGGTCCCACCCCACCCCAAGGCATGGGACAATTTTGTTTTTTCCACCCGCCCTTCGGAGGCCCGGTCCCCAGCCTCCTAAAGTTTAGGAGAAGCTCAATCGTGATTCTCAACTTGGCTGGGGCCATGTACTGGTGGCTTAAACCACCAGTACGTGGACGTTTTTAGGCCGTTAACGCGGTGGTGGCTGAATCGGTGCGCCACGCGGGTCCATATGCATTTGCGTCAGAGCCTCCCCAGAGGGGGCCTAAGCCCCCCTGGGGTACTGGTGGTTTAAGCATGTAGGGGTAGGTGTCTGACGGAGAGTTGAAAGGTGCGCACAGCTTTTCGGGTTATGGTGTATCACAGTCCTGGGGGGGTTGTTTTTTTTTTTTTTTTTTTTTTGGGGGGGGGGCATCCGTTAAAATTGGAACGATACAGAGAAGATTAGCATGGCCCCTGTGCAAGGATGATACGCATAAATCGAGAAATGGTCCAAAAAAAAAATAAAAAAAAATGCTGTGAAAACTCTGAGAAGACTCGACTGTTAAGCACTGGCCCGTACTCGCTAACCTGTGCACCATGTTCTGACGGTACAGGAAAGCTAAGCAGTAGGGGGTAAGCTGTAAACTGTGCATCATGTTCTAACAGCACAGGAATCGAACTTCAGTTTTAGGGATCAAACTTCAGAGTTTTTAGTGTTCCTTCTTTTGTTCTTGGGTCTTACTGCCGAATGTGCGGGTATGGACGGCAATGGGCATGCTTCTGAACATTCTGACGTCGCGCTTGCCGTTGAAAACCCTAGTCACTGCATCATTACCATCATAATGGTCCTGCATTGTGTGCATCAAATCTTGGTGGTCGTGTTGTGTCGATGACCAGGTCATTGTGGCTGCTGTCGTAATCGTCGAGCAGCCGTGTACATCAAATCTTGGTGGTCCTGTTGCGTCGATGACCAGGTTGTTGTGGCTGAGGCCTTTCTCGTCGAACTCAGCACAGCTGTGTTCTCTCACTGGTCTCATGCCGACTATTGTCTACTATGCTTGTCAGATTACTCTGTCCTCATTTGATGACTCGACAAGTGGAGAAAAGGAGGAAGAGGAGGCTAATAATTTGCTCAGCTCTCCCTTGCTGCCGAGCACAAATTTCGGTGCCGCCCTTCTGGTGAACTAACTCTGTAACTAACTTCAGTTACCAATGGGCATGTGTTCTTGTTTCCCTGGAGCATTGACAGGCTGTTGCAGTGGACGATGTTGTGAAGCATGCATGCATCTCGGCGGGCTTACCAAAGCCTGACGCAGAGGAGATGGTCATCCAGCTTCGGAAGTACATTGAGAAATTATTGGCCAGTGGAGGCGGAAAGGGTAATTCCAAGCAAGAGGAACATGGAGATAATGCCATCGCCGCAGGGCGTGGTCTTCCGGATACAGCAGAACACACATGGGCGATGGATCGTCTTTTGAATACCAAGTGTGTTGAGGATGAGGTATTGATTCTAAGGGACACCATTACCCGTGCTAGACTCCACGAAGACGAAGAGGTAATGGGGACCGGAGTCGAAAGGCCAAAGGTGCAGAAGAGAAAAGCTCTGGATGGGGAAGATGTGGGGAGGGAAGTGCAGCCAGAAAGCGCCCCGGTTGTTAAGAGAAAGAAGGTCGTAAAATTTGATGATTCGGCTATGGAAGATACGGAGGCGATAGATGAAGGCCCGGAGAGAGGAGGAGGATTACCTCAGAAGAAGGCATCAGCTCAAAGACAGAGGAAATCGAAGGGGGCAGAGTCTGAGTCTGATGTTGAGGTGATTGATAAGGAGATGGCGGGGGTGGCAATCGCGAAATTGCAATCAGCAAACTTGGCAAGGCGTCTCCAGAAGAGGCAGAAAAAGGTGCCGAGCAGCGAGGAGGGAGAGGAGGAGGAGGAGGAGGAGGAGGAGGTGGGGGAGGAAATGGAACAGAGAGAAGATAGCGAAACTGACAGTGGGGTAATTTCTGCTAGTGATGTTGATGAGGGGGAGAGCTCGGAAGAAGAGGGTGAGGACGTCAGTGATGAAGGGAGTGGAAAAAGTCAGGTGTGTGCGACACCTATGCCTCTATAATTTGCATTTGTTAGACATGCCTGTCCGAGTGCGAAATTTCGATTTGATTGCTGTCAGTTGGTGTGGTGTCTGAAATTTCGAAATTTCAGTTTGAAAGTGACTCTCTCACCTGTCAGTTTGCTGCATGCGTGCATTTCTGCGGACTGTCTGGGTATTCTGTTTTTTAAACCTTTTTTTTAATTATTAAATAAAGAAGAGGTTGTCTTTTTATTAAATGTGGTGAAACCGGATCCACCGGATCCAGCGTCCCTTACATCATTGAGCCACACAACGCTTCCCTCCATTATGGCTGAGGAGGGACCCTGAGTCAGCAGCATTGATTGCTCCCTCGTGTGAGAGAGGATGTACCACTGCTCTGCCTCCTTCATCTCCTCCTGCACTTTTCCCTTCGCCGTCTCTGCCCCCCCCCCTACTGTCCTACCCTTAGATCCACCTCCAGGTACCGTTTGTCCTTTTGCTGTGCTGGATACCGGGTCCAGCGTTCCTGGTCCCTCTCTTCTCTCTACTGCGATGCTAGGCTCGGGCTAACTGAGTCCCGTATGTTGTGGGCCGAATCTGCCCATGGTCTCCCACTACTGAACCCCTCTCCGTATATTCCAGTTTTCGTGTGAACTGGATGTTCCCTCCCACACACTATGCCAATCTTTCCAGTCCCCAGTACCTTCGTCTCTCTCCCGTGCCTTGTCTGGGTTCTCACCCGTCTCCCTTTTGAGCCTAACCCAATCTGTTTCGTACTCTGTCTCCAGTGTTTAAAGAAATCCGTCCCACGCCTGTGCCAGCGGACAGTGATTTTTTTCGATCGTTTCCTGACATCTCCTCTTCCTGATCGCCCACAGCGCCACGGGTCTCGTCCTTTGGAATAGCCTGCATTGGTACCCAGTCCAAATTGTTTTGGGGTCCCGAAGCCTGTGAGTAGTGCTTCTTTATGTGTCGGGAAGGGCTTATCCACCATCGTCCGCCATAAAGCTGCCACCTTGTCTCAGAGTTGCTGGGCCCTGGCGAAGGATAGGAGACAGTGCATCACGCCCTCCGCTTGCCCCGCGTCGCAGATGTTGCACAGCTTGTTGAGCATGGTTCTGTGTTGCGGGCTTCTCCGCCGGCTCAGCCTTTCGTCGTAGATGGCGCACAGCTCGTTGAGCATGGTTCTGTGTTGCGGGCTTCTCCGCCGGTTCAGCCATTCGTCATAGATGGCGCACAGCTCGTTGAGCATGGTTCTGTGTTGTGGGCTTCTCCGCCGGTTCAGCCATTCTTTGTAGATGGGGCACAGCTCTCTGTGCACGGTTCTGTGTTGCGGGCTTCTCTGCCGGTGCAGCCATTCGTTGTAGATGGCGCACAGCTCGTTGAGCCTCTGGGCCACCCTGCTGGTGCCTCCCTGGAGCTTCCAGGCCCATTCGACCGGGTCCACCTCCAGCTCCTGGATATCCACCGTCAGCTCATAAATCGTGTACTCTTCATTCTCGAGTACCCGGACGTTTTGGAGCAGGTTCCTCGTGACCGCCACCTGTGCCTTTGTCTTTCGCCATAGCTTGCTGGTCACTGCTCCGGGGACCACCATCTTCACCAGATTCGACAGGTAATTGAATTGGTTGGGCTTAAAAGAATTAGCCTTTTATCTGGGTGGGGTTCCGGGCCGCCTGGCGGACCGGTGGGGGCCCGGGTGGGGTCCCGGACCGCCTGGCCGGGCAGTGCACCCGGTCGGTCCCCGGGCCCCCCCAGCGCACAGGGTATTTCGTGGTTTTCCGACCCCATTTCGAACGCTGGTGGGCTCCCGCAGGCCTACCGGGTCCGACCGGCCCGAAAACCCGCGGCATCGGGCCCGATAGGCCTGCGGGAGTGGGTTTGAAAATTGCGGCGGGTCTGTGGCCGTCGATCCGCCTTGATCGACGGCCACAGAGCCGTCGCAAGTTTCCCGCCCAGATTTGAATGGCGGCGATCTTGCCCGCATCCCGTCCGTGGGTGTTCGCTGGAGCTGCCCCCTTCGACCCGCAGCCTTTCGAAGTTGCGCCGCCCGTTGTTGTTCGCTGGAGGTGCCCCCTTCGCCCGTCATTCGTCGTCGCCGTTCACAGGAGCTCGTCTTCCTCGCCCGCCGCTCGTCGTCGTCGTCAGCTGGAGCCGGTCGTCGTCGCCCGTTGCTGTTTGCAGGAGCTGCCCCCTTCCCCCGTTGCCGTTCGCAGGAGCTGCCGCCATTCTTCTTCTTCTTCTTCTTCTTCTTCTTCTTCTTCTTCTTCTTTTTCTTCTTCTTCTTCTTCTACTTCTGCTTGTGTACCATGGACGTTGGTTAGGTCGCGTGAGACTCGGAAGGTAAGAAAAACAGAAGGGAGGCCGTTAGGCACGTCGAGCCTTTCCCTCGTCTTCTTCTTCTTCTTCTTCTTCTTCTTCTTCTTCTTCTTCTTCTTCTTCTTCTTCTTCCCCCACAATCTTTCTTCTTCGTCGTCGTCTTCCCCTTTGTCCCCCCCTCCTCCTCTTCTTCTTCTTCTTCTTCTTCTTCTTCTTCTNCCCTCCTCCTCTTCTTCTTCTTCTTCTTCTTCTTCTTCTTCTTCTTCTTCCCCCACAATCTTTCTTCTTCTTCTTCGTCTTCCCCTTTGTCCCCCCCCCTCCTCTTCCTCTTCTTCTTCTTCTTCTTCTTCTTCTTCTTCTTCTTGTTGCATCAGTCGACCTTCGGCAGTTAACGGTGATCTTTATCTTCTTCGGCCTTTTGGTTGTTTGGGGCAGGGCACATCTTTGGCGACCTTAGGCAGTGAACGGCGAACGGAAAAAAAGAAAGGCCGTCCTCCTCCCCCTCATCCGCTTCTCTTCTCTTCTTCTTCTTCTTCTTCTTCTTCTTCTTCTTCTTCTTCTTCTTCTTCTTCTTCTTCCTCCTTCTTCTTCCTCCTCCTTCCTCCTTCTTCTTCTTCCTTCTTGTTCTTCTTCCTTCTTCCTCCTTCATTTGTCAATCAATCAATCTCCCCCCCCCCCCCTTCATTCATCGATCAATCTTCACCCTCCTTCTTCCTCCTTCTTCCTCCTCCTTCCTCCTTCTTTTTCTTCCTTCTTCTTCCTTCTTCTTCCTTCTTCTTCTTCCTCCTTCATCGTTCTCCTCCTTCCTCCTCCTTCTTCTGCCTCCTTCTTCTTCCTTCTTCCATCACATCTTGCCATCCATCCATCCCATCTCACCATCCATCCCACCATCCCATCTCGCCACCCATCCCACCATCCCATCTTGCCATCCACCCCTTCTTCCTCCTCCTCCTTCCTCCTTCTTCGTCCTCCTCTTTCCTCCTTCTTCCTCCTTCTTCTTCCTCCTTCTTCCTCCTCCTCCTTCTTCCTCCTCCTTCCTCCTCCTTCTTCTTCCTCCCCTTCTTCCTCCTCCTTCCTCCTTCTTCTTCCTCCTCCTTCTTCCTCCTCCTTCCGTCACATCTCGCCATCCATCCCACCATCCCATCCACCATCCATCCCACCATCCCATCTCACCACCATCCCACCATCCCATCTCGCCATCCATCCCACCATCCCATCTCGCCATCCATCCCACCATCCCATCTCGCCATTCTTCCCACCATCCCATCTCGCCATCCATCTCACCATCCCATCTTGCCATCCATCCCTTCTTCCTCCTCCTCCTTCCTCCTCCGCCTTCCTCCTCTTCCTCCTCCTTCGTCCTTCTTCTTCTTCCTTCTTCTTCTTCCTCCTTCTTCCTCCTCCTCCTTCCTCCCATCTTCTTCCTCCTTCTTCTTCCTCCTCCTTTTTCCTCCTTCCATCACATCTCGCCATCCATCCCTCCATCCCATCTCGCCATCCATCCCTTCTTCCTCCTCCTCCTTCATCCTTCTTCTTTCTCCTCCTTCCTCCTTCCTCCTTCTTCCTTCTTCTTCCTTCTTCTTCTTCCTCCTTCTTCCTCCTTCTTCCTCCTCCTCCTCCTCCTCCTTCTTCTTCTTCTTCTTCTTCTTCTTCTTCTTCTTCTTCTCGTAATTGGAGGTGTCGGGCGAGAATTGCAGGTGCAGGTAGGAGTTTGTTGGAGCGCCATGGCTGGTGGGAGCAGGGGTTCCCCCGCCTCCCCCCCCAACCCCACCGCCCCCCCCAACCCCAAAATTTTATTGCAGATTCGGGGTCCTCTTGCCGAGCGTGGAAAGACCCCGCCTTCAGAAAAACAAAATAAAAAAATTCTCGGGTGTTTTTCGGCCCGCCGGGTTTGCCCGGGCGGCCCCCCCGGGCACGCTTGGCCGGGCGCCATCCTCACCCAGCCTTTTATTAAAAAAAAAGAAAAAAAGACACCAGAGTTGGTTGATCCTGTCGCCAGAGTGATATTCCCCGGTCTCTTTTCCTATTCAGTAATGGACTTTTGAAGTTAAAAAAAAAAAAAATCATGTCGCTAGAGTGCAGAAGGGATTGTTGAGATCATGAGATGAAGAATCAATTTAGGAGACTGGCTGCAAACTCGCACCGGGATTTTCCCACGTGTGTATGTGGGCTTAATTGCAGCCAGGATCAGTCAAGCAAGTTGCAGATTATGCCAGAAGCCCACTTTTACTATGTTCTTTTGCCGAACACAGTGCACTATCATCACAACTGTATTGGAGCGGAGCTGAAAACTTCAGTTCATTCCATACTTGCGGCGCACTTCTGCGGTGCGCGTGCGCCATGCGCCATGCGCAAATTAGTGATGCACGGATCATGCGGCCAATTTTTTTTAATTTTTAATTTTTA